GCAAACATCAAAATTTTTACATGGTAAGCATTGGACGACAGTATGGCATCAAGAAGGTTGGTTTTGAACTTCGCGAACCACTGAAGTATGTTAAGGATCTTGGAAACGTTCCTAAGAGATGTATTTTCCAAGCTTACCCTAAGAAGACCAAACGCTTTCCACTCATACTATACTTAAATAAATAAATAAATAAATACAGAGTCAACCTACTTGATATTTCAAAATAAGCAGAGGTATTATTTAAATAGGAGTACTTACGTGAACTCTCTTTGTAGATAAACCTGTGGATAATAGTAGTATGGTCTACTGTCAATATATTGATGAAGCCTTACGAAATATTTACAGCCAGGATACAAGCAGAAGCTTCTAAAAATGTTCACGATTTTCACACAGCTTTAGACGAAATTCAGGGATATATTTGGAAAGCTAACATTCTGAGGCTAAAAATTATACTTCTTCACCCTCTTGAAGATGATTGCAGGCTAGTACATGCAGAATGAACATCATCTTCGGAGATATGTCTTGCAAAACACGTGGCTGACGTAAATTCGTCCAGTGTTTCTGAGGAAGAAGATATGTAAAAATTTCAGGTTTCATAAGTGCGTCCTTAGATGCTAAGTAACCCTATAAGAAGGTAGTAGCGGTAGTAGTAGTAGTTCTGGTAACACTTAGTGATAGTAGGGCTAGTAGTAGATCATTACAGGTATGAGGCAAGAGCATGCACAGTGGTTAGTAAAACTTTGGTACTCACTCCAGGCTGCGGCCCCGCGATGGTCCCCAAAACCATATTTATTATTATATGTTTTTTTATTTATATTTGCTATTCACTATTCCTATTTTACTATGTACAGCTGGATAAAACACCTTTATTTATGAGAAAATATATTTACAAGCAATTCTTATTTTTACGTATTTCGTAGGTCTGTTGTCTATAATTATTTATGATTTAAAATCGTAGGGCAAGTGTTTTTCTTCGTTTGTTTCAGCTTTTAGGTGAGAATGAGAACATACCATTTCAGGAATGGTGATTAACAATGAAAAATATTGATGATAATGATATATTTATTATAATTTTAATTTTAGCTTACATTTGGTATTTACTATTTCTATTAGGTACATATTTTATATTTTTAGCTAAGATGTGATTGCACATTTCTTATTTTTACGTATTTTATAGTACTGCTGTTCAAAAAGTTTCAGGTTTTCTTTCAGAATCATTTGGATTGGACACCCCCAATTTCAGGAATGGCATACGTTATAGACACTCCCGAGCGTGATAAACGCGAGATATGAATATTGATGATAATGATTTGTATATGTTCCAAAAGATGTTCTAACTGGATAGCTGGATGAATGTTTCATTGGGCATACACGAGTCGGGGAAAGATAGATGTTGAATAAGAACAATAGAAACATGTTAAGAATGATTAAAGTCCCGATCTATATTATGCTGCAATACATGAAAACAACGGCATCATTTTTACAGGGTAAGCATTGGAGAGTATGGCATCAAGAAGGTTGGTTTTGAACTGAACCACTGAATTATGGATAGAACTGTTAAGGATCTTGGAGACGTTCCCAAGAGATGTATTTTATAAACTTACCTTAAGAAGGCTAAGCGCTTTCCGCTCAAACTATACTTAAATAAATAAATACAAAGTCAACCTACTTGATGTTTCAAAATAAGCAGAGATGTTAGTTAAATGGGAATATTTATGTGAACTCTCTTTGTAGATAAATCTGTGGATAATAGTATGGTCTACTGTCAATATATATTGATGAAGTTTTACGAAATGCAGCCAGGTTCCAAATAAAAGCTTCTAAAAATGTTCACGATTCTATACAACTTCTGAAGAAATTAAGAAGGAATTAAGGGACATATTTGGGAAACTAACTCGATGAGGCCAAAAGTTATATAAAGATCAATTGAATTGATAATCGAAATAATGAACAGGTATTTTTTACATAATCTGAAACTTATTTATTGTACAAACATGTTTCACTGACGTCTTACCCGATGATAAGTCAAGATTATCAGTAAATATAACTTCTGAAACCTATTGGAAAAAGCGGCGGTGCCATAGAATAAAGCTTTTACCAAATTTTATTTTTCTAACAACTTATCAGAAAGATATCAGTGAACTTCGAGGGGCGTTTTTAAAGTAAGAACCAGTTGCGCATCCTGTAACGTGAAGACCGTTCAATCTCGGACACTCTTGGCCAATTTTACATTACGCCGCTATAAAAAACTAATGATCAATTAGTTTGATTGGAAAATATCAATAAGGTCTTTCCTTCGAGTATATTCAACCAAATTGGGTCACAGAAGAACTAGAAAGACAATTATTGTTAAATTTATATAGTCTGATTCCCTTACATTCCTTTTGTAATTGTCCTGTTTCCCATACGTGTTCGCTTAGTGCAAATTTTGAGGTTGCAACATTTTAACCGAAGATTGCATAACAATTAACCAGTGTGTTACGACAACAGTGCTGGGTGGGCTTTCGCGTTCTTTTGGAGGGCTTTTGGTGTCTTCGGGACTATGGACGGGGGTAACGTATATGGAATTAAAAAAAAGCGTGAATGTTTATGGTGACTGTGTTAAAAAATGAAAAAGATGTTCATATTTTAGTCTGTGATACAATTTACATTCATAAATAAAATTCTTCTGACTCGATCACAAAACGGTTCTTACTTAAACAATGACTCTCGTATAAACCGTTACTTCAATGCTACTTTTTTTCAGGTTAATAACTGTGTCATGCTGACGATTGTACAAATGAACCCAGAATTGTGGAAGGACTTGATTTTTCTTCACCTAATACAATGAATCTGAGCAGTGACGGTTGAGGTTTTCTAGGGGTTTCCCTTGCCCAAGTGCGAATGCAGTCACCAAAAAACCATATTCCCCTAATAAATACTGGAGAAAATGAAAATTATAGTTCTCCTATTGATGATCGTGTAATTTGTCACATAACTATTAAATATATTTATATAGTAAAACTTTGTTTTTTTTTTCCATAAAAGAAATAGGCAAAAAAATATTTTATTCTATCAATCCCTGTTCGTACAGGTGTCGTCACCTGCGGGTGACCGTGCCCAGTGTCCCGCCACACAAAAACTGTGAATCTACATTTTCTAGATAATAGACTCCAACAGTTTTTTTAGATTTTTTATTAGTCGCTTTTTGACAAAGTGGAATTCTTGCCATTATCCCGAAAACGAGGACTTTTTGGACTGAATTGACCCCGGATTCGGTTTTAGCGACCCAAAAACGTATTATAAGAATGGTTGACTTTACATTCTCGACTGACCCATTTTTGCAATTTTAGAACATAATACACCAAAAAATTAAAATCCTTTAAGTGCGGTTCTAATGGCCTCTATCGTACGTATTTTGGGTTGAGAAAGCCGAATCTGATGTTATTTCACATGTATCTAATCCCGTTGAACATGTAAATGTAATTATTTAGCGAAAAATTCCAACTTTGAGTGCTAAAAATCCATTTTTCTTATCGATGGCTATCGGACCTTTGTATAATAACAAGATAACTTGGGGTTTGGGGCGTTGAATACAGGGTGATTCACAAGGCGTGACCAAAAAGAAACATCATACACAGGACCGCATTTTAAGAAGGACCTTCCATGTAACATTTTTTTCCTCGAGGGCGTCATTTAAAAGATGTTGAATATGTTGAAGTTTAAAAATAAAAAACAATTGTTTTTAATATCTCTAAAACCCTTAACTGGAATGAACTAAAATTTGGTATGTCGATTTAAGTATTGTCCACATTCAAGTCTTTACTTAAAATTAAAGTGCACCAGTGGCGGAGAACAGAGGATTAGTAGCATTATTTTTTCAAATAAAAATAGTACGTCACTGTTTTTTTTTTCGAAACGCGAAATTTTTCGGATGTTACCTTAAATTTGTTACAAATAATTACTTTTGTGTTTTTTCCTAGGGTGCTTTGTTTTCGTAAGAATACAAAAAACAAATTAGGTAATCAAAGCTTTATTTCCATAAATGTTCTTACGAATACAAGTGCGGCATCTTTATAATAAAGAAAAACGTATTTCCGCCAATTTTGTTCTGGTTTGAATTTTATGAAACGCATTATCTATTCTTGCTTTAACTGATCAACAGTATTAATTTGTTCAGCATACACTAGTCGTTTAAAAGCGCCCCTCAAAAAGAAATTCAGGGGGTTCAAATCAGGAGGCCTCGCAGGCCAATGTACGGGTCCTTTTCTGCCAATCCATCGTTATCTAAAATGATTATTTAACCATGCGGTCACGACGAACATGCGGTGGGACACCGTCGTGCTGATACATTCGTACTCTCGTTGCTAACAAGTAACACATTTTCTATGTAATTGTCTAGAAAATCTAAGCATTAGTTTGCATTTAAAGGTTATGGCAATACGTGCATAAACAGTTGGCCATTGAAAATGCCGCACCAGACATTTCTAGAAAATATGTGTTGAAACGAGTGAATTCTTACAGAACGGGGATTTTCTAACGACCAAATATGTTCATAATGAGAAAAAAATAACAGTGACGTACTGTAGGTATGTCCGCCACTGGTGCACGTTAATTTCAAGTAAGTACTTTTGAATGTGGACAATACTTAGGTAAATCCACATACCAAAATTTAGTTCATTCCAGTTGACGGTTTTATTTTAAACTATCTTTTCAATGAATCCCTCGAGGAAAAAATGTTACATAGAAGACTCCCCTTGAAATGCGGTCCTGTGTTTGATGTTTCATTTTTGGTCACGACTTGTGAATCACCCTGGACATTAACATGCTGTTTTCCTACCAACATTCTGTAGCATGCTGTATATTTTTTTTAAATGTTAAGGATGAATGGCTCTCTGTAGGAATACTTTTCGCTCTAGATACATGAAATACTATTTGAGACGGAGCGTTATACGCACAATCTGATGTCATCTGCAGTCTGTTTTCTGGGAGATTTCTAACCTAAAAATTGTAAAGTTGACGTTTGAGTGACAGTGACATTCGAAGACAGCGACAAGTTCGAACTCGAAGCAATGTGAAAATCCAAAAAGAATGTGATTTGGATCAAGAAATGACTCATTGTGTTGTCCGAAATGTTTATCAAATAAACCGGCTGAAGAAGTGACTAGTGGCCGCGGTTAATTGTCCATTTAATCACCAATTATGGCGTACGTGAACGTGAAAGATTGGTCAGTGGACCAAGTGACCGATTGGTTGAAAGGTGATAAAGCGATGATAAAATTAAATTTCCTGTATACATTGTTCGTCTTTTAGGTCTCGACAGCGTAATACTCCAATATAATACTTCCTTTTTAAATAACGGCGTTACTGGACATCAGCTTTTGAATTTGAGAGCGGATGATCTTGAACACCTTGGCGTCAAGACTTTGGGCCATCAAGAAATCATTCTAGAGGCTGTGGAGCATTTGAGGAATTTTGTAAGTTTATATTAGCAACTCTTGTGTTGTAGCCATTTTTCGTTTTCAAGTACATTTTTTGCTATATATACATAACTTTTTATGCAACTTCTGTGATTCTCTCAGCCTGTTTAAACCTGTCAAAGTTCATGCATATGCAAGTTCATATCTGCCATGTGTCTTGTCTACACACATGAAGTGGTTTTTGTTTAAAGGAATTTGTACATAAATATATGCAGTTTTTAGTTTGAAACAATTGAAAAAAATTGAAATTGATTTTGATGGCACTTCGTGACGATATACTTGATCAGCTATGATAATTTTGACACTGCCATGATAATTTGAATATAGATCAATATAATCAGATGTCAAAATTATCATATTGAATCAAGTATATCGTCACAAGGTGCCATCAAAATCAATTTCAACAGTCGAAACCCATTCAGAGTCAAGCCCCTGGTAACTCAGGCTGAAGAAGTGGTGTAAGTAAAGGACTTGAAAGTCATCACATTGCAATTATACAATAAACTAGTTTAATGTAGCAAAACCTTTAGAAAATTATTTTGCTATTTTCTCTAGCTTTTTATACACCAACTGACTAGCAATAGTAGAACTATGTTGAAATAAGAAACAGTGTTGGCATTTTAGCCAGTGACAGCTCTCTTGAAGCCTATGTGGCAAACATGTTATGGAGTTCTTAATCTTACATATATAACTTAAGCTAACGGCATCATTATGTAATGTAATCTATGCAAAATACAGGTATCAAATCGAAATTAACTGCTGGGACTAGAGAAAGTTGCCTCAGATGGTAATTGAGCAAAAAAAAGGACAAGTACACATTCACACTGAGGCAGTGTCTACTAATTGCATTGGCCCCCAGAGCTTGAAGCCAATTTTTCTTATGAATCTATGCCTCTGATTTTGATTACCTTATTTCAAGGACATCTTTAGCTTTGTCCAGTGGAAATCATTGATTATAACCTTCATATTGCCAATTAAAGATGTGTGCAATTCCTCCTATAAATGTATAACCTGCAATCTCTTGTTTCCTTATAAGAATCATTTATGACATTGATCATTGATTTTAATGTAATCAGAACAACTACTACTTTTACTATTGAACTACTGATACTTAATCTCCCAGTTATGTGATCTTGAATATTTTGCAACTGTAATAATAAACAATAATATATTTGTTGCAGCATTTTGAGTTGGACAAAGAAAATCTGCAAACCTTAGCTTTAAAGCTATCATGTGCAGCAAATTCTTTGTACAAGGAATTACTATTAGTAGATGACAATTGCTCAGTTCTCCAAACACAAGTCATGGCTGATGTTCACACAATCATTACCACAATCAAGCCCTTAGTATATTGGCTTGATAGGTAAGTTATTTTTTTTTACTTGGTATATATAACAAGTACATTTTTAAAAACCCAACTGCAGTAACTGAAAACAATCAAAATTTAATTGTGCTATCAGGGAAACCTAATATGTCAAAATCCATCGAAATATTTGGGCTGCAGCCTGTGAAATGAAAATTCCAAAGTTGAAGTTTACATTTAAGATCTGCCATTTTGATCCTATAAAAGTTGAATACATCCAATTTCTCTCACATTATCAAAACAAATCTAGAGTCATCTCGTGTCAAAATCCATCAATGAATTTCAAAGTTGGAAGATTTTATCAAAATTCGCCATTTTGATTTTGTAAAATTTTAGTATGCCCACTGTCAAGACAAATCATGAAACACTTCATATGTCACAATTCATCAACCCATTTAGACTGTAGCCCATGAAAGTTATTATTTATTGTTTTGACTTCTAAAAAATAGCTTTTTTTTTTCTTAATAGTGTCCGACCGAACTTTCGGTTTCAATCAAAAATCAGAGTTTTTGTATAGCTTTTGTTTCTGCAGAAAATCGGTCGAAACTGCAACCAAAACAACGTTCATCTGTTTGCCTTAGGGCACATTTATTCAGATTAAAAGTCAAATTTGCTAGGGGAAAATGTTGAAAAATTGTTATTCATGTCATATAAGATCAGACTGTTAAATTATGATTATTAGATCCCATTCTAATGGCCTGTTGCACGAACATTGAATTTGAGTTTTGTAAGAGTACAAAAATCTAGGGATTTTTTGATGTAATTGAAGATGGTAGATAACTCACAGATTTTCAGGGAATTCCTGTGCAAGGCTCAATTTCAAGTAGCATATTCAAAACTGTACAAATTAAATTTCCTAAAAAATGCGATGGTTACTAATATCTTGGAAATACTTTTTGTTTGTCGTTTTTGAATAATTGTTATAGAAACTACTATTTATCAGTTTAAGAATACCTAAATCATTTAAAATATCATCATGACCAATAAAATCCAGTTTTGAAGACTAAAAATGAATTAGACGGCCTTTAAACTCCAAAAATTTATTTAAGTAAACACTGCTTACAAAATTTTAAATGTGGCTTGCAATAGAAATTAAACTAGCTTTCTTTATAAAGACTGACTTTGTTTTTTCTTGGAGATACACATCTCCCAACCTCCCATCTCATACTTCTCAGTTGGAAGTGTTGTTTTCAGGTGAAACAAAAAATGACCTGAAATTTCTGTTTCCGTTGAAATATTAGTTTCAGTGGGACTCTATTTGCTAATGCTTTCATATTTCTAGGTCTCCATTTGCGGGTGATAAAGATTATATAGATTGCAAAACAAATCTATTACAGTATGGTTTTGAAATGGCAACTAGTGCCAATAGGGGTATTTTTTCTGAGCAACCTGTCTGTACTATCAGAAAAATATGCAAGAAGTTAGCAATAATTGCAGACCATATTATACAGGTAAGCACATTGGATGGCACTTATTTGATAACTATTTAAAATAAAAAAATTGTTCTGTATCTATCATTGTGAGATTTTTAACATAATAGTTTCCTACTCTTTTTTTAATTGTCTAGTTTCAGTGAAATTGGAGAAATATGTTGTCTACTTTACCAAAAACCATTGAAAAAAATTTCTGCTTTGAATTCCAGGATGTTATGGATCCCATGATATTACAACCAACATCCTTAGATCTGGCAACATTGAAGAAGAGGGAACAGGAACTGGGTTTTTTTATTCTTCCAAATAACCATGCGGTGCATCAAATTGCTGATATAAAGCATGGTTCTCCTGCACATAGTAGCTCAAAAATTGAAGAAGGGGATGAAATTGTCCAGGTATGTGTAATAAGAAAATTATTTTGAGAGACTTCAGTAAGAGTTGCACATTGGAATTCATGACTAAATAGGCAGTAACTGTACAATGTTCCTATACATTTGAGCTGTGTAATATTTATTGATCATATACTGTATGTTGTTTTGTTTTATTATTATTTAAAGGTGAACTATCAGACAGTAGTTGGATGGCAGCGTAAAAAAGTCATGATGCTGCTACAAGAATCACCCCCTGAAATTGTACTAACATTGAGAAAAAGGCCAAGACATACAAAAGTTTATGGTCAGATCTACATGAAACCCTACAGATTACCATCTAGAAAAACTAATGGCCAGACATGGTCTTCAAGGTGGAATGATAATATTCCATCACCTAGGTTATTGCCAATACTTGACTTACCACCTATAAAAATTTCTAAGTAAGTATACTTAAAACGAACTTGAGTCCTCAGACTTAACAAACCAAATAAGAATTGAATACTTGTACTATTTTATACTGTTTTTCTTTTGCAGAACTGATGAAAGTAAGGAGATTCATGATATAGAAACAGAACTTAGCAGCAGTGATAGTGAACCGCCAGACAGTCCATTGGATGGCAGCTGTAGAATGTATCCTTTGAAGCCAAGACCAATACTTCAGAGAAGGAATACCATTTCTGGAGCCACACCTACCAATAAAAGGCCATATCCTTCTCTTGACCAGGTAAGAATAGAATAACTTTATGGTATATTGATTTATAAACAGTTTATAGTTGTATGAATAAATATTATCATTATGCAAGTGGAAATTGTTTAGTGTATTTGTGATGAAATCAAACTCACTAAGTTTGTCACCTGGGTGATCCTTGCTAGACTATAACTATCTAAAACTGTAATGACTCATCGATGTTCACGTGAACATCACTTAACTACCAGTAGTCGGCTGTTCATAGGCGGGCTATGAATGTTTAACATGGGTGAACTAGATTTGTCACATGCTTAATAAAGAGTGGTTTGAAACATATTGTAAGTCAAAAATTTGGGAATTACCTTTATTCATCGTCGCTTCCACTTACATCTGACAGTAATAAACTGTCGCTATCGCTTTCCTCGTTGAAATTGACTATAACTGGCTCTATGATGGTGTCGATGTGGTGGACAAGCTGCCACATTTTTGTTTCTTCCTTCACAACATTGCGGATAGCATTCTGCCAAGCTTCGGGCGTTACTAGCTGTATGGAAGTCTCAAGTAAAACCTTAACGTCTGGTAATTTGGATGTTGTGTTATGGCGCGCAATATAACCCTTCACTTGAGCCCAGATGAGCTCTATTGGGTTCAGTTCACAGTGGTAGGGCGGTAACCGCAGCACAGTGACACCACATTGACGGGCCATCTCATCAGTCACGTAACTAATGTTCGCAGGTTTGTGCTGTTTAATGTTTTCATACAATTCCGCTTTCACACATGAATCGTCAAACGGGATTCCTTTTTTACGCAACCATTGCTACATGTCACTTTTTCGAGATCCCATAGTCGGTACACGTTCGGCTCGACGACTATGGTAGGAAGCATTATCCATGACGATCACAGAGTTGGGCTCAACTCGCTGAAGCACGCCTTGAAACCAGCTCTCGAAGCAGCTGGCATTCATTTCGTCATGGTAATCACCTCCTTTCTTAGAGACGAAAATCAAGTCACACTCTTCTAAAAAGCCACTATCGCTACCAATATGAGTTACGATCAATCTTTGACCTTTCCCTGACGGTTCACGAAGACCTGTTGACAAACCTTCAATGCTTGCTTGTCGGTTACTCACTACGTTTTTGTCTATCCAGGTTTTTTTAACTGCATTTACCCATTTCTCGTCCAAATAATAGATTTTTCTGCTTTGTCGCCTATATTCAATCATTTCGTGGAGGTATTTTCGACGCCAGGCGACTATTTCAGGTCTCTATCAATACTGACTTCCGATTACGCGTTTCGTAACGAAAATTAATTTCGTGCAGGGATTTCCTCATTACCTCGACGCTCATTTGGGGTATAATTTCATTTTCCTTGATCGCTGCATGTACAGCCTTGAGGGTTGGTATCTCATTCCTAAAGAAGAATGAATGTACGGTTCGCCTTAACGCCATTTTGCTATCGTCATCCAATTTAACGGCCTTTCGTCCCTTCAAATTAAACTTTGGATCAGTAGTAGCTCCAGTTTTGTTCTTTTCATGCACCACCCTGCGAATGGTCCACTCTGGAACGCCTGTTCAGATAATTGAACACGTTGACCACGATTTCTTTCGCGTCCCTCTTCAGTGCTTTACGAAGCCGTCTGCTTGTTCCCTGGCTTTCAGTACTTCCACTCGTGCCATTTGTACTCTCCATGGTTAAGTATAACCAAAACAGTAACCACAGAAACCACAAAAATAACAATCACACATCAATTCTTATAAAAACACACAATATGCGATCGCTCAACGAAACACGTTCCAATGCGTTGCCGACGCCTATGAGTCTGTCGGTCGAGGCGCGTCTTTGATTTCATTTCGGAGAACAATCAGCCATTATTTCCATCTCTGTCTGTGCTGTTGACCATCGCAAAGCCACTGAAACGACATATATCGTACGCTATACGGCTGTACTGGAAGGAAGCCGAGATCGAGCTCTGATCACGTGTTGATCGCGCGTATGAGTCATTACAGTTTTAAATAGTTGTAGTATAGTTACGATAAGTTTCCAATATAACTGCTTGTTTAAACAAGAAATGTTGTGGATGTATAGTTCTGAGAATTACGAGGCTGAATCAAATATGAAACGGACTTTTCTGTTAAATGCGCCATAGGTGAATGGAGTGGGGCGACGTCTTGGTATCCATTGGGCGGGGATGTCAGATGTTGCTGGAGGTCGTAAAGCCTTCCGAAATTTTGCGTCGATTAACATCACAGTACGGCGATAAGACAATTTCAAGGACACAAGTATACAACTGGCAAAATATGTTTTTGTCTGGAGAGGCAGCACCGCAAAAATCTAAGATCAATCTTTCTGCAGGAAAAGTTCTTGCAACGGTATTTTGCGATTCCAGAGGTGTACTGCTAGTTGATTTTCTCCACGATCGCCGAACGGTTAATGCTGCTTACTACTGCCAACTGCTTAAAAAAGTGAAACTGACCTATCAGCGAAAAAGGCGAGACATACGAAGTGCCATTCTGCTCCATTGACAATGGTCGACCACACACAGCTGCGTTGACCCAGGAAAAATTACGCGAAATTCATTGGGAAACACTTGGAACACCCGCCTTACAGTCCCGATTTGTCGCCATGTGACTATCACATGTTTAGGCCACTTAAAGAAGACCTGGGAGGTCACCACTTTGACGACGACGAAGCTATGGACACGTTCATGCGCTATTGCTACTGACACGATCAGCTTCATTCTTTGATGGGGGAATTAAAAAACTTCCGATCCGATGGGAAAAATGCATCAATAAGAGAGGAGATTATGTAGAAAAATAAGATGTAAATAAACTTGTGTTTACTATACCAATAAAATTACTAAAAAAGTCCGGTTCATATTTGATTCACCCTCGTATTCACATTGCACATTTTTATGTTATGCCTGGGTAGAAAATTATTGAATTGAAGATAACATTAAATTATAAAATTGAGATTGTTCATAGACACTACAAATTACTTTTATCTACTAAACGCTAATATGATTACAAAAAGCTTTATTCTAGATCAAATCCTGAATTTTTATAATTGTATCTCGTGAATCTTTTATTGTAATATGTCAAGATCAACTGCTTATGATTCTATTTATAATATTTGATAATGGAACATGATTCATTTTTGTGAGGAAATCAATTTATCTTTGACCAAGTCGTGCAGCCTTCTTTTACATCCTGTGATAATAAATCTATAATAGCTTAGTCAAGTTCGATCAAATGAAAACATCATAATTTATTCTACGTCCTCAAAAAGAATAAATTTACTAAAAGTAGATTACTATAGATTTTCAGTTTAACAGTCTGTTTGAACAATCAGATAAAATGTGATATAGTTGTAGTCACCGTTCTTGCCGGTTACGTCATCAACGCCATATGGAATAAGTAACAGATTGAGTCTCCGTACCATGGGCGGAACACTGCGCAGACTAATCTTCAGCGCATTTGCTACTCTCTCCAGTACGCATGAAGTGGGTATCAGGGGACCGATATTTTCAATCTCTTCCTGGCGATACTATAATAAATTTAGCACAAGCTTTCGGCCTTCTCCATTGATCATATTTCCGCGCATTGTAAAATTTTATATTGAGGATTGATAACAGGACAACTTGAATGTCAAGTAAGTTGTCACTATGACAAATACGATTGAAGGGCAATCATACGTATCGACAAAGTTTTCGAGACGGAGAGACACGTTCACATACAGGGGTATGTTACATGTGTATGCATGAGGGAGATGGAGATATTGTATAAAGGGATACTGGTAGTCTTACTTTGACCCACAAAGAACGGTGACTCCAACTATACTGTTAATAGCTGTTTTGTAATTTTTGAGCTAGCTTTCCTGTACTATCAATGAACATAGCGTCGGCTCTATCGCAGCCTGAGATGTAAACAAACACTAACTGATGTTATGCCGGTCAACTAACAAGTCTGGTGTCTTTTCAGTATTGGGATTTCATAAAATCGCGTTCGAATACCGCCCATTCCAGTACGTGCAACATAAATAGCGTCAAGTTCGAGCAAGATTCAAATTTCCTCAGAGACAAAAGTGCTTCTTGCAATGTTGGTCTTGATCTGACACCTAGACCTACGACTGTGATTGGATTGGGACAAAATAGCTCGCATAAAAAGAGTTTTAAGGATAAGGCACTCAAGAAGAAGGTGAGCATATTTTTTGTTACCACGCGATCTCCCGTCAAAAATACGTGACGGTCTCTCCATGTAAGAAGCATACATAAGAAATCCGGATTTCAACTCTTATGTTTATGTCTATGGTTATTACTATTAAAATGTTATACATTGTGGCGCAGAGGAAACGCATGTTTTCGGAGTGAATAGTATTTCGCAAAGAGAAGTGGGTTGACCTTGCCTCACCGCCAGCAGAGAACACCAGCAATGCAGTTTTAGCCATGGCACCGTGGACAACTGAGCATCGTGTGTTTGCCGTTGAGCATTTTTTCCGAAACAATGATTCTGTAGTTACCATGCAACGTTTATTCCGTCGCCAGTTCAATGTTGAACGCCAAAGGTCAATACCAGATCAATATACGATACTCCGATGGGTTGAGGCATTTCGAACTACTGTGAGAATAGTGGGAAGAGTGGTCCTTGATAGTCCTCAACGGTCCACTAGGCGACAAGCTCCAGCTCTGCGTCACTTAGTGGCATAATTTATCATAATTAATTTAAACACTATTATTACTTCATTTAGTTGTAGTTAAAATAAAATTATCTTAAACATAAAAAATGTTATGCTTACGCGAAAATCATACGTTTCCTCTGCGCCACCCTGTATAAAGCCGCTCAAGTTTTAAATGAATCTGATGCAACAGAAACGTGAAAGTTGAGGTTCAGCTAAACTTAAAGTTGACCTTAGGCTGGTGCAATCGGATATTAGACTCAATGATTAAATTGTAGGTCAACTTTGAGGAAGAGAAAGAAAATCAGAAAAAGCAAGAAAAACCACCAACAGCGCTCCAACCAACAAATCTGAGTACCGAAAAAAGCGTAAGCGTCAATAGTTTAGCAAGCTTGAACAACGAGAACATAACATTCATAGATGAAGGAAGAGACTTGACAGATCGAACGAGTATGGCTTTGAACTGGCAAAAAGAAATTGTCGAGGAGATAATTGAGACAATCAAAATGAAACCTGTTGAAACTAAACCCAGCTCGGTGATCGAGAAGGATCCAATTTTGTCAGAAATCAACGTACACAATATCATAAAAAAGTTCGACGAGCAAAAACATGATAATTTGGCTAGACCAAAAGTGTTACCTAGGTCTTTGGTGAAGAAACCTCCTGATGTACCTCAGAAACCTGAAGGTAAATGTTTTACTATGCCATGATAAAATGACACTAGGCACTGTTTTTTCCAAGGGCACAACTCGACGGCAATTCTACTTCATTTCGCATACGCTTGTATTGATTTAGCGTTCCCACTAGAGCAACTGGTAATCCCGTTTTAAAGTTGTGGATTCAAGACTACTGACTACAGGGTGTCCACAAAGTTGTGGTTTTCCTATTCAGACACGATCTGCATCCACTCGCGAAGCCTCGGTCGCATTTTGAAGACAGTCGACCGTAAATTAACAGCATGTCGACTAGTTCGCTATTGGTGTATGAGTGTGCCGTTTTCTTTTTTGAACAGCTATCGGTTACCAATGTAATGGTTTGTTGATCTACACTACCGACGTCTAGGTTAAGTTGCATACTAGCGAATTTATATCGTAGTCGTACGGTCAATACTCCTCCAACTGAAACACATCAAAAAACACAAAAACGCCATGGGAAAGTACCTTGATCGTTATAATAAATAGGATCACAGCAGTCCACTACAAATGCAGTTATCACAAAACAGTTATTCAAACTAAACAGAGATACGTGCAAACCCTGATCCCCTGGATTCGCCCTTGGTCCTAAGTCTGATTGAAGTCGTTTGCAGTTACCAATTGTTTTATGTGAGAAATCATTCTGGTTCAATATTAATTAGTTTTTCATTAAAACAGGTAAAGTGAAACCGGCTGTTCCCCCACGTAGCGCTACAACGAAACTCCGAGGACGTTTGGACAAAAGTCACAGCACTCCAGCATACGATCTTAGCGAGGATCTTCCAGAGAAACCTGAAACGTTGCTCAAAAGTGTTGCTGAAAGAAAACTTGAATCTCCTAATGATTCACGCTCTGCGCAAAAGGATGCCTTGAATGAATCTGACAGCAAAACCTCCAGCGAATCCAAAGAAAATGCATCATCTGAAAGAAGCTCTGACACTTCTGGAAATATTTCGGAGTCTTCAAGAAACAACGAGACTGCTGATAAGCCAAATTTGGAAAATATTGAACACCAAATGAGTGGTGATTCTGGGGTTAACACATTTGATACAAGTATTGAAAAATCACAAGAATATCAAAGTGAAACTCAGTTTGAAACCATAGCATCTGCTGAAGATATCAATACTATTGGCATACCTGTTGTCAGCTCAAGTTTCGAGAGGCATGAATATCATGAAATTATATCGTCAAAAGTTGAAACCAATGAACCTGAGGTAAGTGTTGCTGTTAAAATAAATTTTGCAACAGTTTTCTAACTTTTTTGTGTAACGAGCTTATTCCGATGTTTTTTAGGTAAAGATATCTGATGTACCACCTAAACCACCCCCAAGAAATATTGTAGATATCAGTAAACCAGCTTATCCAGCAGACTCACCAAAACCAAGTCTTCCAGAAGTACTAAAAGGTGGCAAAAATGAGCCCTCCAAGCCTGTTTTTGAATTCCCAGACACTTCACCAGTTGAAAATTCTTTACCAACTAGCATTCAGGTATGAAATACTTCGTGAAAAAGTAAACCAATTTTGGGTTCTGATTCAAATACATATACTCTTTTTCTGATATATGTCTCTGCTGGTGCTCTTTTATCAAAATACTAATAGCCAAACGTGATTCCTAGGTTTATGTGTATTGTCACACCATTTTACTTAAATAATTATATTCAATATATTATCTGCACAGAAAACATAATTTGTTTATTTTCTAGGTGGAAATTCATCCAAAACCACACCACGATGATAAACCACCTTTGACACCAAGAAGCTTTGACCCTAAATCAATTTCAACACCTGTCACTAAAACAAAAATGGGATTCGAAGCAGACACAATATACAAGGCGTCGCCTAATTATGAAGTACAAAAAATTTCAACTGAATCCAAAGTTTCGCCCACTAACTCAATTGTCAAAGCAATGATTTCTGGCAAAGGGAAATCTTTGAAAAAGAAAAACAATGTTATGGCGAGTAAGTATAGTTTGTTCAAGCCAGTGTTCGTGTGCTCTTGACAACATAGGTCAGGAAAAATATTGATAATGCTAAAACTCCAGAATAATTGAAATCAAGCCCTGCAATCAGTAAAAGGTATACGAGGGTAATGTGAAAAGTTTTTATCTGACAATAATGGGCTACAGATTTCAGTTAGAAAATGATTTAATTCCTCTATGTAACTCCCTGCAGTTATAATTTTTTGCTGATTGGAGCCCCATGTCAGTGTCAGACTGATAAATTTTCACATCATCTTTGTAAAACAGTACTGTTATTGATTTAAGTCTCTTTAAGTTTTTATAACCATATCTCCAAATGAATAACTCTTTAATTCCTTTTAAAATAATTGCAATAATTGATCTTTTTTCTAGAGCGTAGGAGAGTTAGTGTGACGGAACTATCTCCAGCAGACATACAGGGATATTTGTATCAGAGGTTAAGAGGGAAACATAATCAAAATGTGCATTGGGAGAAAAGGTGGTTTGTTTTATTAGGAAGCTGCTTATATGGTTTCAAAACGAAGGAGGACACTAAAGCAGCTTGCCTTATATTTCTTTCTGAATTTACAGTTGCTGTAGCTAGCGAGGTAAATGATTTTCATAGTTTGTAAAAGATACTGAGTAAAATATGACATGGGTTTAGATTAGTAGGTAATGCTGATAAATGTTTGCAAAGATTTTGCCTGTCCCAGAGTATTTTGTAATATCGAGTAATTTCAGGTAAAATCAAGGATGAACGCTTTCAAGGTGTACCATACCGGAACCGTTTTCTATTTTTCCGCAGATGACGCGGATACGTTACAACAGTGGATAGATTTAATTAAAGTAAGTAAGGCCAGATGCATACAATAATTTTTGAAGATTAACTGTACAAACAAATCCACGTGTCGTTCTTTGCGATTAATTGCTTTTGAATTGACTTCGTATTATAACTATCTTGCTTATAGGTGGTTACATTGCATCATGAGCCATTGAAACAGTTACCAAGTACACTATACTCAGAGACTGAAGATGAGCTTGATGACGAAGGTAAAATTAGTGACAAGAAGAGGCCTCCAGATAAATCAGACTCGCTAAAAAAGTTTGGTTCCCTCAAGAAATTTAGTTCAAAGAAGAATAACGACGCCAGTCACACCGGAAGTACAAGTTTGGATAGAAAGTGGTTTTTCAATAAGAGTAGTGAGAAACCTAAGAATTCCTTGCCTATACCAACTGCACAGTTTAGGTGAGTTTGACATGAGGTGATCTAAAAATTTTGATTTTTCTTGTGTCATCTTGTTCTGTAGAGATTTGAGAATATTTTTTCTTTCAGGTCATACAGAAAAATACGTTCTAGCGAGTCAAGCAGCGTTACCACAGGAAACTTTACCTCTCATGTGCCTTTTTTCACTCCACACAATTTAAGCAATGCACCAAATTCCAGTATCCCCAACTTGACAATGGAGGTGACTACGCAAGATCAGGTAAAATATTCAATTAGTTTTAGTTAAAAGAACGTTAAATACAATAAATTTGTTTTTAAAATGCATCACAATTGATCTATCCATTTCCCCTGCACCTGATGCGTTTTCTAATACAGGGGAAAGTTCACTTTGTATCCAAACTTCGATATAACTTCTTGAGGCAAAAGTGCTTTCACCGTGTCCATCGATTCTCTGGAAATATGTGCAGTAGCCCCCATCCTGTTGAAACCATCTGTTTCTGTTAAATTGACGTTCTGTTCTTACAATAGGAGCAAAAAAGTGACAATCATGTCCTTGTATCGCTCGAAATTGACTGTCAATGCATGACCCTCTCCAGCTTCAAAGAACCAATAACACCGCTAGAGGATATGACTCACCAAACAGACACCTTTGGACTATGTAGCTGTTGTTGATGTTTCTCTTTTGGGTTGTTTGCGCAGCGTAGGAAAAAGATTCAACATCCGTTCAGCACAAGATTTCCGTAATACGTAATCACTTTCATTTAAAGCATGTACTGATTGTATTTTATAACGATGAAAAACCTTTTTTTTTTTCTTCTTTATGACATGCAGTGTTTACCTAGTGATTCCCAAAGCAGCGGAATGCTTCAGCATAGAACGCCGAGGATTTGTAATGACCGAATCACTTACTCGACGCACATTTTCTTCGGTTGATATAGTAGGTGTGGGGCCAGGAATGAGTTGACTAAGAGTATAGGTTTCACAGAACCTCTTAATCCACTTTTTCAATAGGTTCTTACTTGGTGAATCTCTTAGTCGGCGAATGTTGTATTGTGTACAAACTTTCCCAAGGGCAGCTGCGTATGAATCACCACTCTTAAAGTAAGCCTCGATGGCAAAAGCACGTTACGCTCCGGTCCAACGTTCCATTGTGACTATTTAACCCTCACGCCGAACGCGTCGAACAAGACCTCTCCCCACTTCCTCGCGTATACAGTTGCCGCGTAATTCAAATTTGGAATATGAACTTTTCCACTGCTCCTTTTTCCCGTTTCTCCTTTTCCTTCTTTTCATTGGCAATGCAAACCTCACTAACATGGCTGTAAAACTGATCAGCTGACATAACAAAAATCCTATACCACTGATCCATTCTTAATTTTTCTCTTACAGGTACACTCTTCAAAGCTGATGAAACCAAAACCTATAAACTACATTCACGCCAGTAATCCAAGCCTATGCAGTACTGGTGATTATGACGCTGGTCTTCCACCAAGAGCCTTCAATAAAAAGCCTTTCAAGCCTTGTCAAGAGAATTTGGCTGGGCTAATGACCTTGGAGGAACTGATGATCAAGCAGACAGAAGAAAGGAAAATGAATCCTCATCATATTGTTGAAGAGGTCACCAAAGGATTGCAAATGGTCAAACCAGATGTCGTTTATGGTGAGTGATAGAGAGATAGATTGACTGGCCATAACCATAAATAAATTATAGTTTAAAAAAATAAAAAAACACGCTTTAATAGCAAATAGAACTCAAAAGTAGAAAATAGTTTTCAAGTATAGGAGAGTCTGTGTTACTGCAATAGAAAGTCCAACAATTAAGTATGGCGTTAATTTGGAATAAGATCAACAGAAAAATTAGATATTAACAAAAAAATTCAGTTACAGTAAAAAAAAGCGTCGGGTGCTTGATATTAAATATATATATATGTTATTATAGTAGATAAAAAAGAAGCAAATAACAAGATCTGCCAAATTAAATAAATTCATAGTCGTCGAGAATGTTGCCAAAAAATTCTGACAATGATGTTCTCCGTAATGGGATGTGAATGGATCATAATTTGCGACTAATACGATATAATTTACAAAACGTACATACTCCTGACGTTCTTCCATTGTGTTGATTTGAAAAAATGCAAACAACGAGATATCCCTACTGAATTGTTGTCTGAGGTTTGTTTAAAAATAACAAAAGGTCAACAGCCCTATAAAAAATCTGTTTTTTTTTTATATTTTTGTGCATAGGACGACGCACTGTGTGTCCTCCTGCACACAATTGAAGAAGGCTATAATTGATTCAACCTATTGACCTACGTATTTTGTTTTTAATTATATACCGTTTCAACTTCATTTGATTTTCTCATCTTCAGGAGAAGTTCCAATCAGATCCAAGGTATCAGAAGAATCTTTGGAAGTGCAGTCAACATGCTCAAAGTCAAAGTCTTCCAGCGAGAAACATGGTTCGAGCAGTTCGTGTTTCGGAAAACGACTAGGATCCCTGAAGAAGAACTCGAATAAGACCGAAGAATTCGAGCATAAAAATTCGACTTACCCAAAAACTACAAAAGGTTATGATCAGAAAGTGAACAGATCACTGCCGAGGACCCATAAGATGTTAGATAGTTATACTACCTACGAAACAGAACAAAGTATTTCGAAGTATAAAGAAAGAAGTTATGAGATGATTTATTGTCCAGAAACTACCAATGATGTGCAGTATGCTATGAATCGTACTTTGGATGATACCATGTACCATGATGCGCCGAAAAAAGGACTGAGTTTGAAGAAACAACACAGCTTTACTTTGGCTGATAAGAAGTCGAAAAAGGTGCATGATTCGTCTACTTCGAAGGTAAGAATCGACTGAATAAATGTATTTTATTGAACTTTCTAATTCCAATATCAGTAGTCTAGTAGTCATAAAACTGCACCATTACTGGTCTAAACAGATGTGTCTAAAAGATTTCCTGAAAGCAATACTCTCTCCTAAAGTTGTTACTTTCGTAATGAAGCTCCCGATCATATAGTCGAACCATTCCACAGGTGAAATTGAAGTCGGCTATCCAGTACACTCCAGTATCGTTGCCTCTAAGTCAGGATCCAAAATCCAAACCAAAATTCGCGTTCGAATTGAACTTGGATGAAAAATCCCAGAAAGGCGGAAAATTGAAAAACATGTTTGGAAGCGGAAAATCCGAAGCGAAGAAAGAAAAAACTTTTTTAGGTTCACCTAAACTGCACAGAGCGATTTTCAGGAAACATAATTCAGGACCGGATACCACTTGGCCTACAACTGCATCAACTACTCAGGTAAAATACTTTGATTAATTGTTTTTTTAGAAACAAATCTTTATTCAAGTTAATTTTTACAAATTTTATTTGTTTAAAACACTGGCCTCGAGAACATGATTTTTGATATCAAAGTGGTGGTGAAAGTCCTAAATAAACATCTACCTTAGATATATAAATGCAGGGTGTCCTGAAAGTTGGAACCTGCCTTATCTAAATAACAAAGCTAATTTCCGTAAAACAGCAGCGTAAACGTACAAAATAAATCGAAATTTGCCAATTTCTTCCTAAATTTGTAACATGTTGACAGGCTGACAAGGTGTTCTACCGTTTCCACCTCGACTGCCTGCATAAAATAAACCATGGCAGCCCCAGTTGAAAACATTAAAAATAACGATTATATTTATACAGGGTCCACCACAAAGGACGGATGTTTTAAAATTGCTAGTACTCTCCGCCTTTTCGGGCGAGATTAGCTTTTCCAACATGAAATTTATCAAGTCAAAGTATAGATGTTCCCTCTCTGATAAGTCACTGACTCAATTACTTCGTTTATCAACAACAAATATTAATGTTAATATTGATGCATTAGTATTAGAAAACCAACATCCTCAAAAGTCCCACTGATTTTTTTGTAATTTCATATTTTTTGAATAAATAAAAATAATAGAAAAACTATTTTTGTATACCATATAGTATATATAGTATACCTATTAAAACTCAGTAATAATGTTGTATAGAAAGATTTTATAATGTGGCCCTCCAAACTGCATTTTTTTTTTTTGAAGTGGCCCTTGGGCCACATTAAGTTGGACAGCCCTGATCTAGAAGATATTTTTGTTTCTTTTCTTAAAGTATTATGTGTTACTAGGAAAGGTACTTATTGTTATATAAACCGTGTAGAATGCCAACTTTTGGGACGCCCCGTCTTTAATTTGTACTATCAGATCATGTTTACCATTCATTTTATTTAGGTGGTGCCCATGTCTGAGAGTACGTACGACATAGAGACGCCAGCGCCACCTATCGTTCCAGAAACATTTCCTATGAACATCAGCCCTCATGTAGATTACCCAGGATTAGAATATCCTCCTGTTTTTGAACCTGAAACATACTCACTGGCGAACCCTCAGACAAGTCTGAGTATACTTCGGAAACAGAATAAAAATCTTTAGCTGAAAGTTAGAGGTATAATCAATAAATAATATATTGCTTATAGCGCTCAGAGCCATAAAGGTAGGCGAAATATATACCGTACCATATTTTTTCTGCTTTGAACTTTCATTAAAGTTATAAAAAAATTGACAATGACATTATAAAGTATGTAGCTCTGTATACTCGGGGTGTCCAAAATCTGTAAAATTACTATAGTCACTAAAATAAAAAGTGATCCGAGGTTGTTAAAGAAAAACGCCAAGAGGCAAATTCTTGAAAAGGAGGTAGTATAATAACCAATGTATCTTCGCTTCCCCCGGTCATTATCTTGATAAATAGCACGAGAAAAAGAAACTTATTTGCTAAAAATCAACAGCAGTAGAATTTCAGATGATTCCCCATGGAGCATTGCCTCTCAGGTCTGTCGAAAAGTCACTCGCAGATATGTGTGTTATACTTTTCTTGCCAATATTACCGTTATTACTGCATGCATTTTGTGAAAATATAAACTCTATGAAGCCTGAAGCTTCAGAAAAAATGTAATTTGAGAACAGTTAGTGGACACCCTGATAATTTTTTGGCATTTGCCATCCAACATTCGTTTTTGGTGAATCTTAACTTTGATCCTTCAATCTACTTCAGCTCATAAAAGTAAACTATTTTCCATGATATTTCAACATAGTCTAAAGTCTTTTCGAGTACCGTCTTCTGTCAATTATATGTTGATAATAGTGAATCTATTAACATAGACTAGCACTAGCGTTTCAGAACTATTTTAGGTGGATGTTAAAATTTGTTCTCTCAGCTAACTTGAAATGTAGTCAAGATCATATCAATTGCTTCGTTTTAATTTTATACCAAAACTATCCTGATTGTATAAAAACTTACCCAAAAGTATCAGCGTTGCACATCAAAAACTGGCAAAAATACAGTTTCGATGGCATTTATACGACATACAGTAGGGGAGACTGTTGTACCATGGAACATTTTTTATGTTTTAATTTTTTGTAACTGTTTATTTAACAAAAAATGTATGCCAATGTGTTCGTTTAGGTGTTGGCTTTATATTTTTGTAAGAGTTATCACTTATTAGAATTTAAAATAGTAATAAAATGGATATTTTTACTGGCATGTCAAATGCTCCATGGTACACAACCGTAATGTACCATGGAACATGTACTCTTGTACCTTGGAACATAATAAATCCCAGGTACTTTGGTAAATGGAATGCAAAAAGAGAGATGTCCAGAGTATTATTTTTAATAAATCATGTTCCAAATGACTCACAAATAATAAAACCTTACAAATAACTAAAACAACAAACATTAGTGAAAAAAAAATATAAGAAAAGATTTGTTTCAGCGTTTAACACAAAAATCACAAATATATATTTTGCACCCTTCTTTAGTTGCAGCACAGAGTTCGTGGGCCCATCCTAAGCAGGACATGCATCGGATCCATTGCTCTCCATGAATGTCATTTTTGAACGATTCATTGCAAAAAAGGCACTCCTCGTCATTGCTGTCCTCATCATCAGTTTCTACAAGATGAACTATATCGTCCTCCTCTTCAGAAGATGAATATTGAACTTGTTTCCTTTGCTGATTCTTCTTCTGCCTCCTTACTTTTAATTTTTTTGATTTGTCTTTATTTTGTTCATTTGTTTCTTCTATATTTATACGACGTTTAAAGGAGACTTTCTTTTCATTTTTTAACCGTTCTTTTTCCGGAGTGTCTGTTGCAATCATGGTTTTGCCACGCTTTCTTCCTTTATTGGTAGCTTTTCTTGGTTTTGCTTTTGGGTAAGGTACAACGTCTTCAGGTAGTAAGTTTACAATGTCCGTTGATGATTTTCTTTCTGTTAGTATGGGAAACTGATTTGAGTCAGTATTTATTTTGATTTCGGAAGTACCTGGTTTACTAAGTGTCTCTTTTGATATGTTCAAATTTGGTTGATATGGCCCTTGTAAATTAAAGTCCACACTGGTTCCAGGAAACACTGCTTTAGGCCTATTCTCAGATTCCTTTTCGAAATTATGAAGAGTGATTGAGCCTTCCTTTGCATCATTTGGGCCAATAGATTTTGGATCTGGCCTATCAGTAGCATATGCTGGTAAAAAGTCTTCTTCAGAAAAAATGTTTCTGTCAAGTGGGAAAATACCGGCTTTCCGGAATCCATTGCAAATGTTTATTGGACAGAACGCACGTGGATATGCCTTGCCAACTACTTGTCCAACAGCATAAATGTCAAAAGTCTGTCCAGGGTTGTTAAACAACCATTCCGTCACTAACTGGTTGTAATGGCATTTAAAAGATCCGTTGACTGACAAGTCTAGGGGTTGCAATTTATGAGAAGTGTGTGGGGGGAATGTCACAATGACAACGCCATTGTCTGAAGCCAAATTAAGAGTTTTTAAGTTTAAGTGGGTTTCATGATTGTCCATAACTAAAAGTACACGATCTGACTTGGATGGCCTTACACTTTTTATGAAATGATTCATGAATTGTAAGAAAGTATCTTCATTTGACCACCCTGTCTGTGTAGCAGCCCCAACCGATCCCGGTGGAGTGCCAAATAACATCCTCTCTTTGAAGTGTACACGGGGAAAAATCAACATAGGACTTATGTGATTTCCACTTGCACTGACTGCTGTTATCAATGTAACTAAATTGCCACGTTCAGCAGAAGTCACACTACCAACCTGTCTTATTCCTTTTGGTGCCACATTTTTTCCAGGGGTTTGGACAGTGCTCATGCCAGTCTCATCAATGTTCCAAATCCGCTCAGCTGGAATAGGTCCAAAGCGGTTATGCACACTTTCAATATTATCAAAGAAAGCACTGACATTGGTTTTATTGAAACTACTTGCCCTACTTAAGCTAGTAGCCTCAGGTGTCCTTATAGATAAGTCTGGGTGACGTTTCATAAAAGCCCTCATCCATTCCTCACCTGCAATTTGATTCTGGTGCCATGTATCTGGAGAAGCTTTATTATTTGCTGCAGCAAACTTGAAAGCGAGTTCTCTTACACTTTTTTTCGTCAAGCCATAATTCATTTTTGCCACCTTTTTTATATAAAGGAGCAAACAATTCTCTTCATAATCAGTGAATACTTTTTTGTTATCCAGTCTTGGTTTATATTCGAAAGTTTGACTCTCTGATTTTCGAAACCGAGAAAGATGTCTTGACAAAGTTGTTAACTTAACACCAAATATTTTACATGCTTCTCTTAAAGATATATTTTCTGGATCCAAAACTGCCTTAACAGCATTTTCTAATGCAGTAGAATTAACAGGAGGTCTTTTGACGTTCAATTTGCTGCGAGGCATTTTACCTAAAACAAGAGAAAAACTCGATAAAAAGTATCGTCATGTACCATGAAACGTGTTCCAAGGTACAAGCTGTTTTATATTCCAAGGTGCAGGAAGGGACCTTGCCGAAACAAAATCGCTTCCTAACCTACAAACTGTCGTAAACTGATTGTTTAAGAGGATGAATCTACTCACCACATTACAAGGACTTCTATTATTCTAATAAAGTCCACAATCCGACTAGCACCTTCGATTAAAGAAAACGAATTTGAAATTAAAAATTTTTACTTCTGTCTTTGAAAAATAATATTTACTCACAAAAACCACGGGGTGATCAGTAGAAAGCTCAAATTATTGTAAGGGATCTGTAACGGTAATCTAATTTAGGAAATTTATTTTCCGGCCGCTAGATGTCAGAACTATGAAAAAATGGTATGTGTTCCAAGGTACACTATGCCCAAGGTACAACAGTCTCCCCTACTGCCGGATTTTTTGAGTCGCCAATTTCAAATCCGAGGCTAGTTTGACATTTCAATGTCATATCAAAGACACTTTCAAGAAAGCCGAGCTGTTAAGCCCAACCTCATGTCAGTTAGGTGTTTTCTGGTGACCGAGTCCGAATCGGAAGTCACTGCGAGAGCTTTTGAAAGCAATTTCAAAGGCGCAATCTTATTAAAAAATTCTCTGAATAATACTAACATAAAAAAGTGAAGGTAAAAGTATCAATCCGTTCAATGCACATTATATGGGCATTCATACCCTATTTATCATGATCCAGAATCAATTTTGCTATGTAAAAGTGATGAATGATACACCACAACTTCAAGTTTAATAGTGTGACATAGAGTTGGAGTAAATGAAGGCAAGTATTTATGGTATTAACTTTGAAATATGTAACCATTTTTATTTGTTTTCGTTACGTTGTTTTTTGAATTATTTCAATGTTTTTGTATAAATGGACTACTATGCTTTGCTAGGGAGAACACCGGCATCACTGATATGGTGTATTTTGAATGACACTAAAGTGACTAGTGACTAAACGATTCTTGAGACGTTTTGACATGTTGAACTAGTGGAAAATAGTTGTAATATTCTAATATATGAATTTTGGATCCTAGCTAATTGTATTTGAACTGAAATTGAACACCATTCATAGTAATTTCAATAATTGTAATTGTTAAGAATACAGATATAGTGGTTTGATTAATAAAAGCTATGTACCCTTTGTGATATTTGTAATGAAGATAATAACTTATCTTTTAAATCATGTTGCCTTGTTTAATTGTTTCAGTATTATTTGTATGTACAATATTTCCTTGTATAGAATTTTTAGTATTTTCTGTCGTACAGGATGATTAATTGTAGTGATAAAAGCTCAATGAGTATATTTCCTGAAATAATTTTATAATAATTATCAATTCGTGAGTTATTTGTTGCGTGAATAATTTCTCTGTAACACTTTCGATGTTTTTTTATATGTATATAATGGCCAAAAATATATTTTTTAAGAATAGTGCACATTTTATTACCGATGGTAATGCCATCCAAATTCGAGTGGATAAAAGGATATAGTTTGGTTAAATTAACTTCACAAGTTATAGTGAATAAATTAGACTTTAAAGGTTGGTACATTTTTATTGTATCACTATGTTCACATAAATACACCTTTTTAGATGCACCTTATCAAATTTTGCACGATTATATAAAAAATTACGTAACTATTCCAACAAGGTGCAAAATTTTAAAAATATAGGTACTTCTACAACTGCGAATTCATTCTTCAACATATATACTACTCAAAATAGTTCTATAAAACTAGAACTTTGACTTTTCAATAATTGCTTATCCATTTACTTTGTACAAAAGGACTAAGTTGTCTTAAAAAGTATATAATTTTATTGTAGGAAATTGTAAAATTGGAATCAACTATCTGTATGTAGCAGGATTTAACTCAAAGGTTTCACGATTTTTTCTTATCCCTATAATTACAATTGTATTTAAAAGATCATCAAACCGAACCTGGCGGTTGGTTTAAGAATTAGACTAGCAAAATGATTATCATAAAAAGCAACGAATGCCAAAAATAAAGTTTGTACAAAAAAATATCACAGAACAAAAATACACTTATAACACCTAAGGCAACAATGGTACAAAAAAGGCAAAATGTTGCAACTAAAGCCAATCTACGTATAAAACCATTTTTTGATACATCCACTTTAACAAATTTCAAGATATAGGACTTTTACCGGTTTTGGCGGGTTACAGTAAAACTACATGTATTACTTTCATACATCCCATCTACCTCAGGCATACAGCAAAATTTACCTAATAGGGTACCTGTTTCTCAAGAAACTAGTGACGTGTCTGTTTTTTTGCTTCTAGCTAGATCTGAATTGTGGAGATGTGCGGCACCCTAACTCCCAGATTCTGAGGCCCATAAAGAAAAAAAAACATGCATGAAAGTAATTCCTGTAGTTGTATTTTTATTTTGGGAGAATCTTATGAATTTAAACATTCTTGGGGGGTTGGGGAGGGGGCGATGACTCAGGATTTATGACCAGAAAGATGCCCGTCTTGCGGCGAAGTGGGTCGCGTGCAAATTGAAAAACAACGTTCCAAACTTTTTTATCCGGATATGTCGAAGGGGGTTCAGATTCCCAAGACGCACCCTCCACTGTGACCTGCCAAAAACCTTGAAGAGACCTATATGCAGTGATAATGATTGTTAGAAACTATACTGCTCTATATGGAATGACCAACGCGTCTTGCTTCCAAAAGTGACAAATTTTCATTAACACTGACGAAAAAATCTTTTAAACGTTCATCAATGTTTATAAATATCGCATTTCTATAGGTTTTGAGATTAATTCCATTCAAAATATCATATAAGTTTAGTTTAACTTACACAGATGCACCTTACATATAGTAAATTAATAAGGTGCGTAAAACGAATCGAAAAAACGGGATTCTGTTGCCTTCTCAATTTTTAGATATCCATGTTGCATCTTGAAAATAATAGAGGTCACGGTAAAACTTAATTCTAGAATAATACTACAGCAATAATTGCACATATCATAATGGTCAAACTAATTTGATTTCAGTCGTAACTCAGGGGTACAATGCTGAGGAAGTATTTTTATGTAATCAATGTGACCAATTTATTAGGCTTTAACATTTCTATTTGTCATTTCTGACTTGGTTTTTTTGACTAAAATTTCACATTAAAAACTATAGAACAATCGGAGCAAACATTTTAGGACATTCATAAAGACTAAGCACAAGTTAATCACTTTCATAACTCAAAATAAATAACGTGCAGATTGAAATTTTTGTTTGATGTACGAAAATGGGGTGATTTTTCATGCTTGTACCTCACTTCGAAGGTTTACAGAATTATTTTCTGTACTATTCTTTTATAGAGTAAGATACCAAGGCTTCCACATATTACTTATTTTCTGAAAAATAAACCTGTATTTTACATTCAACGCCTGTGTACTTGCTATGTTGGCCGAGTTTTTGCTATCAGGTGTGAAAGGTTAAGTAAAAACAATACTGTCTTGAATTATGAATGAATTATTTTAAAGCAATATTCAGCACTGCCAGACACTTCCTGCTGACCAAAAGATCTGCCAGACGCTTTAAACAGGTATCCTGTTATAAAGCCCTCTAACTTTCTTGTAAGAAATGCTTTATACAGCAGTTATAGAATCTAGTATAACATTTTCCATGCAATGCCTTCTTTGTATACACAGAGAATCAATGCCATTAGCCCTAAATTTGTTATATCGAACTTTTTCCTTAGCAGGTATGCAGGCATTTTGTCTTTCAGAAAATAAATAAATATCTGGCAGCATATGATTTTTTTTAATAAACTGGACAGTTTGAATAACTGAATTAAAAAAAAAATGAGGTAAAATCAAATTGAACTTACCTCAGTATGGTGATTTTGCTTTCTATACATACATCAAGTGCTTTAACTTTACTATAAATATACTATATATAATTTTAAGTTCTGATGGAAGGATATTTGATCTGAAGTGTGAAAAATAAAAAAATTGGCACTGCATTAAAAAAATAATGTCTAATACTGTATTAAATCAGTAAACTGAAAATGCAGTAAACATGCCATATCCAAAATAATACAAATCATACCTGTAGGAAGTTTATGGGAATAAGGATTATATATGGATATGGACTATTCCATAAATTGTATATAATTTCGCATAACCTTGTAAAGTCAATAGACCTCTTCATCCGAGAGACTTTGATTGGAGTACACCAGTTGCACTCATTGAAAATATTCCTTTATTGACACTTACGTATGATACAACATGAAATTATAGTAGACCAGATGCAGCCATTGAAAAAACCCTTTATTGAAACTTAACTATGATGCAACATTGATTTCATTCATAATATTTCTCTTCCAATTCAGCAAGTTCTTCTTTGAGATCCAGAACAGCACAGTGAACTAGTTCTATTTCTTGTGCCAAACGCAAAAGTGTAAGGTAACTGGGTAAAAACTTTCGAAAATCCTCCAAAGGAATTACTGATAGTCGCACAACATTGAACACTCTCCGGAAGCGGTTCAACTGATCCTGTAAACAGGAAACCGTGTCTCTCATTTGTTCGAACATCTCTTCTTCATCAAATGCAACTTCATTTTCGCCATCCACTTCATCGATAGCTTCTATTTGTTCATCATCAGAAATATCTTCTATAAGCTTCTCAGCTTCCATTGCTAGTATTCAGGTTTCAAATTCAGATTTGTGATCCTCTTTTTACTTACTTTTACCTTTGTAACTACGCACTCTGGCATAGCAGAAATTCTGTCAAACTAGGGTGGCGAACTAGCCTCATTTTCAATATTTAGCTCTACCGGTCATTTGAACTACCGCCAACAACACCAGTCACGGTACCTCGCGGGGATGCTGGTTGTCGACGTTGCCATCCTACTAGGTTTTACCTAAATTTATTCGTCAAAAAAACATTAAACGAAAAATCAGTCAAGATTTTTAAATACGAATTTAGTCTTGAACTATTAATATATTCAACTAATAATTTTGCAATCTACTCCAATCAAAGCCTTGAATCAAAACTTTCCCCAGCTGTTGCTACAACCATGATTTCACAACAACACCAGTATATCCAAAAGATTACAGACTATCAAAAGGATATTATATCACATGGGCAAACCAGACCTACCAATGGAATAGAGACGGCAGAAACTGATCATTGTCGAGCTCTGTCGATTTTAGAAACGAATAAGGTAGGTTTGTTCAATGTATTACAAAACCTCATTAATTCCACTTTGGTTATAGCTCACGCTTTTTCTTTCCCATTGTCACTCACCGAAGATGCCATTTTTTATGATTCGTAACTATAAATCAAATTCAAGCGGCTAACCAAATGAAAATGGTATTTACCATTTGAATTGGTATTTACCGATCCGTTCAAGCGACTGTGGTTATCAGTTTAGTTATAAGATCCGCGACGTCATGAATCAGCTGTTATATGTCATAGTTATCACCGCAAAGTTGTGGTATTTACCCAACTCAGGAGTAGTTTTATATTTCTGGTTATTATTTAACATGTGAAAAGTTAGAATTTTGCCGGGTATTGGATATTTTTATTGTACTTCAGCTTCATTTTTGGGAAACTTGATACAGGCCGACTTCAGTTTTAGCATAAGAGAGCACCTTATTATTTATAATCATACTGTTGTTGCGGACACTTTAAATCTAGTTCTAGTTGTAGACGAAAAAGCACCGATTATTAAGGCCCGTATCGTCAGTCGTCCCTACAATTGTAGGGCGCCTTTATGGCCTCCTTGATTTTCATAGTTTTCTACTTCTCCGTGTCAGAACTCTATTTTGAGGTTATGTCACAAACATCTATTTGCGTCAAATTGTGCTTGCTTTTGAGTTATATCATGTTTTATCAGCCTTAAATTTCCTACAATTTAAAAAGAAAACATATCTTCACAATAGGAGAGCGCTGACGCTGACACGGGACAAGAGTAAACTAGAAAATTCTGAAAGAGAGAAAGGAGTATGACAATCAAGGAGGCCATAAACGCGCCCTACAATTGTAGGGACGACTGACGATACGGACCTTAGTGATAATAAACATAATCAGAAATGATATACGCGCTATTCTAAAATAAACAACTTGCAACAAACCGCGGTTAAAACCAACGCGTTCAAGCGATTCGACGAACTGACGTCATCATCCCATGTGTCATCTTGAACCATATTATAACCGCGGTACATAATACAGAAATTTTGGTTATTCGCTTGGATTTGATTATAGAGCAGTCTACCCTGAATTTCACGAGATTAATTAGATGTGGCAACGTCGCTGCAATATTGGACGAAACTGATGTCAAACGCATGTCAACTGTCGACCACATGTCAACTGTCTAAATAGATGCCGATCTATAAAAAAATTTAGATTTTTCAAACAATTCAAAGAAATTTTCGATAGAATATAATAAAATGTATTGAATTCTAGGCCAATTATTGGTAACTACTGCATTTCCAGTAAATGTCTACAAAATAATAACGATACTTGTTCGGTAAGTACGTAACTCGCAAGAATGTGGCAAAACAAACCTCAATTCAGAAAAACCTGGCAAATATCACTTTTCCCTTTTTTCATCATCTCTATAATCTGCAGTCCAAAAACAGGAGCTATAGCGGTTTAGGAAAGAAATATGTGCATGCTTAGCCAAAGTTGAATTTCACAATAAAAAGTTCCTAGGTAGTGTATAAAAAAAACAAATCTCATTAAAATAAATTCTTCTCACAGTGCTATGTACAGTAATTTCAGGATTTCTTGTATAGTCTCCGACTATCAAATACACGTGTTTATGATTGTTTATGCAAACTGAAAAAATGTGTTTTGTCTAATTGTTCAAAAAACCATGAATACATGCATCTGCTAGGAATATAATCATAAACCAGATCTTTTCTGATCACCCATAATGATCAATTTCCTCAAATGACCATCTCTATTGACTAACCATCTTAGAGGCAGACATGTGTTTCTCTCTCCATATTCATTTTAGGCTAACAGTATTAGGTTCTGTTAGCCATCTAAAGGTGGGCCCAAATATACCATCGATACCTCTGTATTACCATATACAGCCGAAACTGTTGGATATAGTTTCTTGTCTGGTAGTCCTATAAAATTCACACACTGTAGATGACATTTTGAATTTTAATATGAAATCAAAATGAGCAACATATACTGATTCAAAATAGTGGGATAAGTGCATATAAAATGCAAGTCTGTTTGTTACTGACTGCAGAACTGTATCATTCATTATTGAATTACATCCACTAATAAATACCAGTAATGTTCCTTGTGAATCTTGAGAGTTTTTAACAGAAACATATGATGGATAGTGGATTGAAAACTTGCATTCTCTTGGTGCTAGCCATATTAATCACATTCAAATTAAGTAGTTTCAGATGTAATTTTTAATGATACAAAATATATTTGAAATTTTGTTCACCTGTTTTTTTAAACAATATCTGATGTAATTCCATTTTTCTCAACTTATGATAGTTGGTCAACTGATGACTATCTACTGACTTTCTCTAATAGATACATTCCAATGATTCATAACCCTTACCTCTAAATGCAACTCCTAAAAACTCATAGTTCTTCTCAAAGGACAAGGTGTTATCATCACAATCTAGAATAACTCTTATCCTTTCTCCTACCTGAAAAAGTATGACATTGATGTCATAACTGTTTTCCACAAAATATATGATTTTTGATATCAGACTGGATCTAAAATATGCATATTTTCTTCCAGATATTGCCAAAAAGTTAGGTGGTAGCAAAAAATGACCAGGGAAAACATAGAACTCGGCAATGTAACTCCACACAACATAAAACAATTGAAACGGTTAAACAGTGTAGTGTTCCCAGTTTCCTACAATGACAAATTCTACAAAGATGTCCTGGAGGCAGGAGAACTAGCTAAGTTAGCCTATTACAATGACATAGTTGTAGGCGCAGTCTGTTGCAGGATAGATGTCACTGAAAATTTCCGCAGACTCTACATCATGACGCTGGGATGCTTATATCCATATCGGAGACTGGGTATTGGCACCATCATGGTACAACATGTGCTGAATTATGTTGAGCAGGATGGGAATTTTGACAGCGTATTTTTACATGTTCAAGTGAATAATGAAGTAGCCATTAATTTTTACAAAAAATTTGGATTTGAGATAGTAGAAACCAAAGAACATTATTATAAGAGAATCGAACCTGCGGACGCATATGTATTACAGAAGACATTGCGGAAAAGTGGACAAGTAAATGGAACCATTGAATAGCTACCACATTGATGAAGACATTCTCTATTTGTCTCATGCACATTAAAATTCTTGTCATTCTGTTTATGTTGATTAAAAATAAACTACATCAATTACCTAAGTTGTAATCTTTTATTTAACACCAGCACATACTGATTTATGGAAAATAATATGAAATGACTGGAAGTCTAAAAATTAAAGGGGTCAGTTTTTGTAGCTCTTCCATGGTTACAAAACTAATGATTACATTTAATTGCAGTTAGCTGCTCAGAGCTAGCACTACATGAAGTATGGTTTAGCTCCATTGATAAATATCATTCGCTATTGAAAACTAGCAGCATTATGTTTCACATACGTAACTTCCGACGATCAATCTGAAGGTCTTCAAAAATGTTCAATGATGTCCATTCAAATGACACCTAGCAATCTAGGTTAAGCAGCACTAACTCTTAGCAGTTGAGTGCAACCAACGTTGCATAGAGTCCTTTAGAAAAAAGTTGTGTGGGTCTAGCTAACAACTATACCAATGCAAATACAAAATCTGTATTTACATCGCTCTAGCCGTCAATGTTTTTAATAATCGTGTTTTTTGTAGGTAAATTTCAGGTTTCGCCTTTACAGTGTAAAACAAACTGGCTTCTTTGAAGGGCTGGTACTCGAAAAAAAATTGTATTCTCTCTTGTATCATTTCTGTCTATTAAAAAGCAGTAATTTGCAAACGGCGTCCAGATGAATATTCTCGAATCCTTTCAAACATGCTCGTACACAATTGCATCCACAAAAAGGGTGGGTTACGACTTTATTTGAAGGTTTTCAGCACAACCTCATTTAGACCCTTCATACACAAAAAAAAAGCAAGAATATTTTAGTAAACGACCACAAAAACGCTAATAAAATGCAAACAATATAAACAGAGAAGTGCCCTATCTTGTTTATGCTCACTTGCAATTTATCCATCCAGAGAAAAATCACGACACGTGAAATATTGCCCCCTGTCATAGAATAATTTTAAATTTCTAAATATATCTCAACAGTATATATAAACGAGCACGTTTACCAAGTTCCAAATTATACATATAAAAGGGACAGTAATGATGTAATGTGACATTTAGGAAATCAGAGTGATGTCAAAAACTATCAGGCAGTATGTCTCCAATCTGAAATTCCCAAGCTTTTAGATCACCTGATATCTAATAAACTGTCATTGAAGACTCAACATTTAAGTAATGACCAACAGCATGGCTTCACTGCAGAAAGATCAACTGCTACAGATTTAATCATTTAAGAGAAAACTTCATAATACCTGCTTTAGGAAACAAACTTCAAGTAGACTCTATCTACATGGATTATACAAAAGCTTGCGATAAAGTAAATCACGATCTGCTAAATTAGAAAGTTTTTTTGAGTATCAAGCAGTCAACCATCCTGGTTAGGAGCTACCTGTCAGTATGATCATAGTGTGTCAGATAACCTAGTTTATTATCTAATCCCATCAATGTCTTTTCTGGTGTACCCCAAGGCTCCCACATTGGTCTAGTTTTATTTAATTTATTTGTTAATGATGTTGCAGGAGCAGTTATTTGATTTTTGCGGATCTTAAATTATTCAGAACAGTGAGAAATAACCACGATGCGGAATACTTACAAAGAGATATCTTAAATCTCAGTCTGTAGTTCAAATTCTCTCATGTGTGAATATAAAGTTGAAAATCGAGACCTCGTGAAAACTAATACAGTTCGGGATTTAGGTATAAATTTTGACACAAAATTGACTTTTAAAATGCACATTAGAGAAAATACTTCTAAATCAGATAAAATATTGGGATAGATTTTTAGATCTACATCTATGTAAAAGTTTTTTGCGTTTTATACTGCTCTTTGGTTCAGAGTATTTTGGAGTACTACAACACAGTGGTACTAATTAGTGACTTCAATTCCAGTGAAGCAATGCAAGGTAAATAAATAAATATCAATGAGCACATCCCAGGAACTACAGCACTTTGAGTGCTTAATGTCAGTGTTCTTTTAACGCAAATAGCTGCTGATTTCAATTGCAGTCATTTTGAAATGCACCTATTATGATCAATCTACAATCAACAAACCTGATATTTTGGAGCATTATTCAGTAATGGATAGTTCCCCTGTGCATCTCCATTATGCAACAAATGGTTGTCAACCAGGTTCCAGCCCCAGCTTTGATCATCAGAACCTAGCAATGCAACATACCCATGACACTGCAAAGGCGCATCCTTTGTGGCAATGCCTATTACTGCCACTGTGCCCAATGGGCCCTCCCAGATCACCTCCCATGCATGTCTTCCATGCCGAAACCCTAAAGTACACAAAATATATCCATTAAATAATATAGAGGTGGAATAATATCTGGGTCAAGTAGATTGATTGTAGGCTCTCTCTCTTGAGAAAAAAATGTGTGAAAGATATCGAGACTCACAGCCACAGACCACAATGTTCATTCCTTCTTAAATCTTCTGAAACATGACCAGGAGTATTCACCAGTAACTAGGTCAGCAATGTACCAATTTTCAAGAGCCACACATCTTGTTTATTCTTACCATAATAATAACCGTATGTGAAAATTTCATCAAAATCTGAAAGGTGATTTCAAAGTCATAGTGGAACTAAAGATTACCAGCTAGAAACACTGATGACACACAAACTAACAAATACATTTGTGATGCACAGGTATAATGTCAAAAGATCAAATAACTCAAAATCTGATTTTGGAATTTGTCATGATTACAAGTAAAAGTAAAAATAGCAAAAGTCTATTGACTTTCATATATGCATTTAACATAAATCTACTTCTAAATTATACACACATTAGAAATTTCAAAACATTTGTAATGTTTCTGAAACTACTCTCAAAATCAGTGAATTGAAAAAACGAAAATTAGGATCTAAATACATGAGTTATGGGCAACCAGACTTTAAGACCTAATTAACCTACAATAGTTTATCCAAGAGCAAAGGTCCTACAGACAATAACAAATATATTTTTCTCCTTTTTTACTTCCAATGCCCATAGGCTCTAATTTTGTTCAAACTTCTAAGGATTAAAAAACTTTGGAGATTTAGTAAATGGTTCCAGTTCCAACAGAGATAAAAAAAAACTAATAATCTATACCAACTTTAAAACTAGGAACGTTCCACTCAGGTTTTGATGAAAATTTGGAGTAGTTCTACTACTATGGCAAGCAACAAACGGCAGTTAAATTAATCATAGTTAGTACCTATCTTTCCCCTAGCAGCATCAGTACTCTGTGCCACAGGATTCCTGTGCAATGTGAACCCATTGGGCTTTATGTAGATGTTCCTAGAGCAGTCATTAGGATTCCAGGCATGGTAGAAGGCCCGTAACTTTGCTTTGTACGTGGGCACTGAAGATAGCAGGTCGGACTTCAGTGCCTCCTCAGCAAGTTTCCTGATACAGTGGAGTCTCCATACGTCGTTATTCTCGTCGTTCAAGAAGTCGTACCATCGTTTGCACACTAACGAACAGTTTCTGAGATCGTGCAACGACAAAAACGAGAATATTACTTCTAAAACGTTGTCTGGGAGTAAGGTCGCCTTTGCAGCATCCATTTTTTGGGGTTTGTTTGACAACTGAGGGAGGATTTGACGTTTTGGGGGGTGCCGGCTGTGACATCGGTGACTGCTTCTGTCACTTGTGGCTGTCATCGATCACGTGGTGGCATGTTCAAATTTTGTGCTTCAAATTAGGAAATGAAAAATTCAATGAATTTCATTATTTTTTCATGAATTCTTAATGCTCACGTGTTAATCTAGGCTCGAGTAAAGATAACATTTCCATGCAAGAAAACAATTGAAATATACTCTACTAGACTCTAGAACACTACCCGTAAATGCAAACGAAGATTGGAAAATTGCCGATTTGACCTACTAAGTGACTCCGTCGTTACCCCGGGATAGACATATGATCTTATCATTCTTGTCACCTAGATTGCGGCGTTGCCAGCTAATCTGACAATTTTGCTACCTCAGCTATATTGCTAGAATGTTATAAAAAAAGAAGCTTTGGAGAAAATATTGAGGGATACCAGGAGATATATGAAATTTGAGACGTAGCAATGTTTGCCAAAAAACTAAAAAAAAGCTGTTATTTACGTTTGCGTCGCCTGGCGTCTATGCGGCGGAACGTTAATGTCTGAACACTTTTATAAATTCCAATTTTATAGGATAAAATAATTTTTTAATACAATTGGCAAAAACAATGTTTTATTACACAAATATATTTATCAACTATTTGATCTAAAATTACATGATCATTAATAGGAGAAGTACGATTTTCATTTTCTCTACTCTTTATTAGGGGAATATGGTGTTTTAGTGACTGCATTCCCTGTGTGCCCCCACATCTCAGGGTGCCCAAATAAAATTCCCTAACATTTTCCTAGCTACTTTCAAAGTTTGAGTATACAAGTATCGTAGACGACAACGATATTACGAAAAGCTTTTGCAGCCATCAGCCAATGTTATTTGGTTGGTTTTTGGGTAGTTTGGCCGTCGTAAAATATTTTTTATTTGACGTTTCGCCTCTACGAGTGGTTGGCATCTTCAGAAGGTGTTCACAGTTTGGAGTCCTATGAGCTACTACAGTAGTAACGTCAAATAAAAGTATTTTACGACGGCCTAACTACGCAAAAACCAACCAAATGACAACGATATTGTACTGATTCACATTTTTCTGCTTCCTTGTGCTACCGACCCGCCATAAAGTACGGTCATTATATTATTTGGTATAAATACTAATGGAATCTGTTTCATCTGTATGAATTATACAATTGGGCAATGTGCAATGTAGCGAATCTAAAAAATCGCACTGTTTCGAAACTGTCATAGCAAAAAGTTCACATAGTGTGACTGCGCTATGAAGACCTAAACCCCTCCCCCCGAACGCAGGTGAATCCAGCAGAGTGGTACTCGGGAACATATTCTTCGGAAGAAAAGGATTAAGTTTTGTAGCACATTTTTTGAATAAAGAGGTCAAGTGTGGAAGTGAAATGAAATATGTATTTTGGTGAATGATGTTGAAGTGCGTGTTCCTGGAGGAAGGCTCCTCAACACAGCAAATTAGTTGAGTAACTTTACATCTTTGACATCGATACCATCATATACATATGTATATTTTAGTTATTAGTATGAATTTTTAACTAAAGTCTAGATAAATAAGTTATTACAATAGCAATCAACGTTACTTCAACAATTTGATTCAGTAATATCTCATCTCATCCAGACTTGCAAGAGAAAATGTTTGAAAATTTCAGATCTGTCTCTGTCATCAAGCCTCCGGTTCTCGGTTTTATAGCCGTTTTATGACTATATTTTTATAATTATTATTTATTTAAAAAAAACATAGGATGTCAACCCCAACACACAAGTATGTGTGCAAGGCTCACCTAGTTTGCTGCACAGATATCCTGTTTCCCTCAGAACAGTTGGAAATAGACCACAGGCACAATCGAGAATCCTATAGTGAACACCACTACTCACTACTAAAAAAAAGTAGCTAAATCGAATAGAGCTCTGCACGGACCTGTGAACGCTGCGCCGACGGTTGCCGAGAGACTGAAGTGTGTGAGTGCTGTACTTCGCTGCTTCGATACGAAGCGACTCGATGTTTACGTTTACCGGGAGCAGACGCGTGGAGTGGGAGCTGGAAAGGGGTGTGGCTGAGCTAACCGGCCGTACCATATCCCCACAGCGAGGTACATCATGCACACGCTTCAGTCTCTCGGCAACCGTCAGCGCTGCGGAATATCCACGCGTTCACATCTCCGAGCCGAGCTCTATTCGGTTAAGCTATTTTTTTAGTAGTGGGTTCTCGATTGTCTCTCAGTGGTGCTTTGGTGTTTTAGTGTTGTGACGTGGGTGTCAAGTGGAAATTATGTCTACTTGCAACTCTTCTGAGGGAAACAGCAAACTGGGTGTATCTTGAATACTCATCTACTTGTGTGTTAGGGTTGACATCCTATGTCTTTTAAATAAATTGTGCACATTGTATACACTGAGAGATTACTCATATACTGAGGTATTTCGGAAAAACTAAAATTTGGTCAAATCGTTTTTATTTTTGTCTGAATGTATTTTAAGAAATGTCAAAAAATTAATGGCATTGCATGATGGTGATTTTAAATGTGCCCGAAGTGCACAACGTCTAAAAAGTACGACTCTGTATCTAATAGCATCTTTTTCTACGACTTTAACGATCTATCACGTTACATTTGTTTTTTTAAGTTGTGTTTATTATATTTTTTCATTTTATTTAAGTAGGCGTTGCAAACAACTGCTTGATGTAAGATTATGTGATTACTGATGAATTTAACCTAGTCTGATCCTTATCTTGACCACCCTGTAATACATTATTATAAAAAGAAATTCACAATAACGTGCACTAATCTAACGTTCTTTTAAGTATTCTTATGTACTTACATTCATTTCTCAAAACTAATCTCGATCAAAATACTATTTTTAGTCCAAGGAATTGGTGATAGCCTATAATTGACAGTATCGTGCTTTGACACTAAGCCCTTGGCACTATGTTTACTAAATATGGTGCAAAAAATCAAGCGTTGATTCTCCGGCGTTTTCAAACCTGGAATCTCAGTCCCGTGTTTAGGAAACTACAATGTCTTATCTCGGTTGTTGGAGGATACGTGGGCACCAAATGTCCAACAAGAGTAGGGATGTCATGCGTCCAAAACGCGTCTGCATGTAACTCCACATGATCGACGAGTTATAAGTTGGATTCAAGTTGTCAAGCTGTACATTTTTAGCTTCCTCAAAATGAATACCTAATATCTCTGCGTATAAGACGGATACTAATGAATAGTAGAGTAAAATAAAAATCGTACTTCTCTTAATGGTCATGTAATTTTAGATCAAATCGTTAATAAATATATTCATATAATAAAACATTGTTTTTTTTCAATTGTTGTAAGAAGTACCGTATTCAAAAAGTATTTTATCATATAAAACTGGGAATTTAAAAAATGTTCAGACATTAACGTTCCGCCGCATAGAACCCAGGCGACGCAAAATGTAAAAAACAGCTTTTGTTTAGTTTTTTGGCAAACATTGCTACGCCTCAAATTGGTATTCCTCAATATTTTATTCAAAACTTCTTTTTTTCATAACCTCTATCAAAATAGCAGAGGTAGCAAAATAGTCCGATGAGCTGGCAACGCCGCAATTCAGGTGGCAAGAATGACAAGGTTATCTGTCAAGACCGATGTCTATCCCGGGGTACCGACGTAGTCATTTAGAACGTCAAAACGACAATTTTCATTTGCATTTTTTTAAGTGTTGTGCAAGGATTTCGGCAAAAATTTCTAGTGTCTAGTAGAATACATTTCAACAGTTGTCTTGCCTGACCATGTTATATTTACTCGAACCAGCGCCACCTTCAACTAACGAGCCATGAACAGTAGATATGGCAACGCAGCTTTGGGGTCTTCCACAGACAGGTGTTTGCCGGCCTTTTCGTTTGTTTATATTCCTAACCTCCGACTTTTTGGTGCAATTTTGTTGTAAATCTCTGGGAACAGTGCAATTCATACAAACCAAAGTAATCTACTTAGTTTTGCTCTTCAAACCGTGCAGAAAGTATTTATTTTAGGTAGTATAAAATCGTGCTTTGATGTGTTTAAAGTGTGTGTGAATCGGTGCTTGTTAGAAACGTCTGTATAGTGTGTAGATTCGAGTGGGTACATCTTTTCTTTTAATTAATATGCCTAAGCGTTGCTGTGTACCAGGCTGCAAGGGAAACTACGAGGCAGAATTGAGATCGACACCCTACAGGTCAGTGTTTCGATTTCCAAAAAATGAGGAGTTGAAAAGTAAGTGGCTAGCTTCAATACCAAGAAAGGACTGGTCGCCTTCTAAAGATTCTGTTGTTTGTGATGCACATTTTCAACAAGCAGAAATTGTCCGTACGGAAACTTATGTTCTGCAGGATGGATCAGCTAACACAGTCACACTGAGTCGTCCAAAACTTTCAGAAGGTGCTGTTCCATCAGTCTTTCCAAATGTGCCATCTTATCTAAGTAAGTCTAGAAAAACATTCCGTAGTTAAGAAAGCTTTCAAATTAAATGAAAAAACAATACACCCAAATAATTTTGATAGACAAAAGGTACATCTTGCAGATAACTTATTCCACCATTCAACTATAGCAGCTCTTAAAGATTTTGGCTTCACAGAAACTGCAGGATTTTTAGATATCATCAGAAATTGGTGGGATGTTATGAATAATAAAAGTTGCATTAAGGGTATATGTAAGTTAAATGAATTTTCAAAGCCTGTTTCTAGTGTAGATGACTTCCGGTGCCAATATCTGAGAAAATTTCTGATTTGGCTCGAGCAATGGGACAGTATTCCAAACAACAATGGCCGCTTGACAAATGAGACTTTCACTGCTTTGTATTTAACAACTACAGTCATTTTAAAAATCATAGAACACTCGTTCCAGAAGTTTCCTGTTTCCCATATTTTAGTTGGTAAATTTTCCACTGATGCTCTAGAAAAACGGTTTGGTAATTATCGTCTTTTAAGTGGTTGCAATTATAATGTTTCCTGTGATGATGTCATCCATTCTGAGAAGAAGATCAGACTCAAACACATTATTAAATCACCATCACAATCATTTTC